GTAGTAGTAGTAGTAGTAGTAGTAGTAGTAGTAGTAGTTTCGTTATTTGCACAATAACATGGTGGATAGGGACGTTCTGGGCCTTCTATATATTATTTGGTTTATCAAATCAAGAGGGATGGTGGGATGTGTATGTAGCACGCATGGGGAAGATATGGGTTAGACAGAAAGGCTGGGATCATCTGGGAGAACGTGGTATAGATGAGGGTACAATATTCAGCTAATTACAAAAATTAGTGTATGAAGGTGTGGACTGGGTGTAGATGGTTCAGGACAGGGTCTGCTGGGATCTTCTTGTCAGCACAACAAGACAAGATGGTAAATCTCTTATCGTCAGTTTCGAAATAAGAAGTAATTTACACATTAGTTAATAGTTAGGCACAGTTAGCTGTATAGTGGGTCACAAAGAACAAGCTTTGTTCTCTTTCATTGTGTTGTGTCTGTTTCGTTAGTGCTTGATTATGTGTGACATGGATGTCCGAAAAGTGGCATATAATACAAAGTAGGCGGCTTACGATTGATTGATTGTGCATGTTGTTCTTGGGAGATGGCGTTAAACGCTGACCTCGACGCATCATTCGGTAACATGGAGGACTTGAAACAATATGTGTGGAAAAATGAGAAGTTAATGGTGGGCAAGCTATTAAAAGAAATGATGAGTCTTCGTGACAAATTCTCACTGTCTGTATTAATCGAAATTTGAACCTAGCCAACAGCAATTTTAAGCCTTTTGGCATCCCACTGGTTAGTTTGTAATAAAGAAATTGTTCCCGCCATAGTAAGAAAAAAAAATTTTAGGAAATAGTCTTAAAATTATGTACATTAGAGTTTTGTAATACTATTTAGTGGCACGCTTGAGAATCTGTAGGGGGAGACAAGGCATCAGCCCCTCTGGAGTTTTGGGGGGGAAAAAATCCAAATTTTAAAAGGAGAAGAATATTACCAAATATTAATACCGAAATTCAAATTATTTTTTAGAAATGAGTTCGTGTATTCTGAATATCCTAGAGCGATTCGAAAAGTTTAGTGCCCCCACCCCCAACAAAAAGTAACCTGATGGCGCCTGTGATGGGACATCCCATTTTGAGTCCTCACGTACAACCATGCAGACAGCCAAGGTCTTCACGTTGAGAAACGCTGCTCTGGAAGGCACATATCACGTGGGCTAAAGAAGGTCTTCAAATAGAATTAATATTACAGATTGTTTTATGAATCCGAAGCTATCTTCATTTTGAAACGGGCACCTGAGCCAAAAATACCGCTTTACTCTTCTGTCATCTATAGTTAATAAAATTTCTCACTCTTCGTAAAACTTTCATGTCGAAAAGGGTGGTAGTGGTGATGTCTGCGAATTGCTTGATCAAGAAATGTTTAATGGTTTCACTCAAAACCTCCAACAAAATACGTTTACTACAGCGAGTCGTGGGAGAATATTCTATTTTTCAACATTTCAGGCAGGAAAGTACCAAACTGTGTCTGGATAAGAAAGGTAAAATTTTCCATGTGCTTAATTAGCTAAGCACTATGCCATGAAGACATATGGGGGAGTGGAGGTATAGCCAAGATTCTTAAGCTCGGTAAGTGGAGGTAAGTGATTTTCTTTACGTCCCTGTCGCTTTACCCCCCGAGAAAGAGACCGGGGTACCCACTGGATAGGAGGCTTAGTAGGCCAAAAAGCCGGTTTGGACGCTGTGGAGAACAGAAAAATCATTCTTCACAAAACAAACTGTACTGAGGTAATTATCGTTTTTAACATATTGCACTGTTTATTGTCTTAATGTATTATTTAATATTTTATTTCCGATGAGGTCATTGGATTTTTCAACTGAACTAATCCTTCCAGCCGCACCATGGCCCTGGGATCGACTCAGCCTCTGACAGAAATGAGTACTAGGAATCTTCATGGGGGTAAATGGCGGCCGGTGCGTAAGGCTGACAACCTTACCGCCATCTGTGAGCTGACTGTTTAGAAAATGTGTGAGCCTCGACGTCTCACAAACCTATGGGTCTCCACGGCCTACCGTCTTAATAAGAAGGCACAGCAAGAAACAAGCAAGGAATTAGTCTCAGTTTTTGCTAAATTAAAATCCGAAAAAGAAAATAGTGAGGAATTATATATTTTATCTATTACTTATACTGCATTAATTTTATAAAGAAAGGGTTATATAATACGGGTAAAAGTTTACCGAAAAATGACGGAGGTTTTGCACGGTTTGCCCCAAAAAGTAAATGCTGAATACTACAATAGGTTACGTCCATGTTCTTCCACATCTTTCCCAATTCATTTATCAGACATCCACTCATTCGGCGCTATATAAAAATCTTAACATAAGAACCTGCCAGTAAACAAACCAAGAAAAATGTAACATATTCGAATTTCCGCCTGAATTTAAGTTTCGCGCAAAATCTGAAACGAATATACCGCACTTTACACGATAGCCAACGTTTGAAACATCCATTGTGTAAATGGTGGTGCTTGTGGAGCTGTTGGATAGTTTATAGTACTTCTAACAAAATTATAGTAGTTTTGAGCCGTGTACAACATTTATTGGAGCTGGTGAGCAAATTCTTAGTATAGGTTCCATGGAATTCCTTCTTTATTACGTATCTTTTCAAAGGCGGTGGTTATCTCAGTACTAGGAAGCCGGTGTGATAGGTTATGTATTCTAGATGGATGTGTTGTTTGGAATAAGCAACATATAATCGTGAAGAAAGCAGTCTTCTGGGCTTTGGCGCCGTGTATATGTGGTGTTAACCGACGTTTCGGAGGAACGTATCGCCCCCATCTTCAGGGTTGAAGAAAAAGTATAGGTNGATTGTAACTTTAAAACTTCATACTGCATGTTAGAGGTTAGGCAAAAATAAAACATTCGCTCTGTAACATACTTAGCATTAGGTGGTCACATGGAAATGGTCACCATGTAGAAAATTGTTTCTGCTTTGCTGTGTATACTGCTATTTATCTTCAGCCAATATTTTGAGGTTTTCCATGTGGAGGCAGGTGAGAATAGCGCCACTGTATGCCTGGGAGTCTGGCCGCGCCATAGCTCACACGGTTAGTCGCTGGCTTCCCACCTTGGCGGCCCGGGTTCGATGCCGGGGGTCTGGTCAAGTGGGATTTGTGGTGGACAAAATGGCGCTGGGGCAGGTCTTCTCCGGGTACTTCGGTTTCCCCTGCCAATCTTCATTCCACCAGTTACTCCACAATCACCCTCACCTATCATCTGGGCCTGGTACAATAGGCCAGAAGTGGCCACAGTACAAGGTACTTAGTCCCACCCCACTAGCAATAAAAAAATCCCTTGGAGTCATAAAAGGTGACGAAAGGGGAATCCAGTGCCTGGGAGTATAACCTGGTCATCTGGGTTGCGGGTTAGACACAAGGCTGACTACATCCCTCTGTATAAAAAAATTATTGTTGCAAAATCCAAAGAAATGAAACCCAATTCAAATTTGACAGAATATTTTAAGGAAGGGCATGGCTCAAAAACGGCTGTTTTGCCAGTGATGATGATGAACACTTCCAGGTGCAATGGAGGAAGAGAACTCTGCTGCCCTTGAGGATGAACAGAGACAGGATGAAGTTCCACATAAAAAAATTCGCCATCGAAAGAAGCAGTTATACAAGGCAATTAGAAATCAGGTGGAATTTTACTTCAGTGATGCTAATCTTGCAAAAGATCGCTTCTTAGGGAACTTAATTGCAGAGGACCCATGTAAGTATGAACTTGCCTCAGTATTGAACTGTAGAAAATAAGACTAATCTTAACTAATATTGTTTTGCAATGGACTCAGGCTACATTAATTTGTGAAATCTTTGGCTGTGAGCCATGTCAGGCAGTTAAAACTTCCTGACCTTTCAGGGCCATCGGAGTCTGTAGCATCAGATCATGATGGGTAATTTTTAACTAACTGACACAGCTGATAGCCTGAGAAGATTTTTTTAACTTTAGCCCTGGTGAAAGCTTCAGATTAGTTTGTTGGTAACTCACCTTTTGTTACAGATGTAGACATCTCAGTTATTATGCAGTGCAACAAAATTCGGGCTCTAACAACAGACGTGAAAGATATATGTGGTGCTTTAAGGTATTCAGATTTACTGTCTGTGACAGAGGATGGCACGAAGGTGTTCCGCACTACTCCAGTTAAAGAAAAGAATAACACTGACGACTGCACGATTTATGTTGTGAGTGTTGTGTTCCTCTCATTTATGTCATGTGTTCTAACATTGTATTCCCCCCCCCTTTCCCCTTTTATTCTGCCACTTTTTGACTTAATGTAGAATAATTTACTTTAAATACTTTACTGCTTATTCAGCATTTGATATCTGCCCCCTAAATATTTCAGCTCTGTCTGCAAATGTTAGTGAACTTATACACCCCTTGTTTGTTTTTCTGCATTGCACGTTTTGCGCTACCTACATGTTAATTAGGCTGCACTTGACAGGCAAACGGACTAATACTAAGGCCCTGTGCCAGAAGAACAAAGGATCTGCTGAAGTTAAACAGAGACCAGTTAAGATAGGTGGTAGGACTACTTACAGGACACTGTCACCTAACGGATACCTTTTCAGATTGGGATTGACAGTGCCTAGAAGAAGATGAATCAGCCACACTCATCCTGTGTGATTGTGAGGTCATTGTTTATTTAAGATTTTGTCACCTAGCCCAGTTCTTTATGGAACCAGGTGACTTTATGATGCCCCCATAAACAAAAGTCCTACCTTTCGTTCAAAGCATAGAATTGCTAAAGGGTTGATCAAAAAAGGGGAAGCACAATGGATCATTGAAGGTCACAGTGCAAGGGCTGGATTATTCTGACCCACCCCACGTACATTCATTAGGTTGTCTGTAGCCGATAACTGTTTAATGGATAATTCTGACGTACTGTCCACTCTTGCAGGAGCAGCTGCCTCTGGACGCCCAACATGAATGGCTGAAAGAAGTCTTCTCTGCCTATGGAAAAGTTGCCTATGTCTCACTCCCCAAGTATAGAAGCAGTGGGAAGATTAAAGGTTTTGCTTTTGTTGAATTTGATACACCTGAAGAGGCTAACAAAACTTTGGAGGTAAGAATTTGCTTCCCTTCTTATTGTAACTGACCATACCCATGGAAGAGAGTTCTTGAGATGCTGATAGCCACTCACCTGGTGAAGAAATTCCCTGCTTTTTATTGATTCTGAAGTTCATTGCAGCGTTTACTAAAGCCCCGAGAGTATCTGCTACAAATTTTAGTTAAGTAATTAGATATGTATGAAGGTGTGGGCAGTGTTACCTCAGACCATGGCATAACCTGTAGAACCATGTAATGGTGGTTTCTTAATTAAAGTAATTCTGCAATAGTCTGATTAAAGATTTGGATGCAGATTTAGAATAAGACTGAAAATATGGAATAATGCCGGATGCTTCACTTCCTCAGTCCAATGACTATATTTACTGTGTTGTCCTTCTCTTATTGCACATAGGTTCCTTGTCTCATAAACTCTACGAGACCAAACTCTGACATCAACTCATAATGACTGCCCTGGTTGTCAGTCCACAGTGTACTTAGCCTCTTCTGCTCTCACTCCAAGCTCCTTATCTCAACTGAAGAATGGGGAGAGGGGTTGGAGTTCCTATCTGAGCATGCAATATTGCCATATATTGGCTTGTGCTGATGTCTCAACCTCCAACCTGATCGTATGAAGCACACAGTTCAGTATACTGTTGCAATACTATATGTCGCATATGCCCCATCCTTGATTTATGTCCCTAATTATATTAGTAGAAGTGTTCAGGCTATGATACTCCACGTAATTTTCACCATTTTTGTTTATTTCTTAGCTCCAAATATTCTACTCCAGTTATTTGTTCTCAAACAGAGATGAAGACTGTCTTGCCTTCCATAGTCACTGCTGTGAAAACCTCAGATCTTACATCGTAACTCAGTGTTTTGCTGTTATATTCACTCCTGCCCACCATAGCTCAAGTGGATAGTTGCTGGCTTCCCACCGCGGCGGCCCGGGTTCGATCCTGTGTCCGGTGAAGTGGGATTTGTGGTGGACAAAGTGGCGCTGGGGCAGGTTTCCCCTGCCAATCTTCATTCCACCATTTGCTCCACAATCACCCTCACCTATCATCTGGGGCTGGTACAATAAACCAGAAGTAGCTGCAGTACAAGGAACTTAGTCCCACCCCACTAGCATTAAGAAAAAGATACTAAATGTTTCTATGTTACTATTATTTGTCTTGCTTCACTGTTACAGGCTTTTGGTGCCAGGGGCTGCCGCTTGTCATCTCAGATTGCTCCAGAGAAACTTTGCAGCATTTCCACCTATGGACCTGATGAAGTGAAATCTGAAAATGTGCCATCAGAGAAAATAGGCGACAGTGAAGAGAGTCAGCTTCAAGATAAACTTTTGAGGAAGAAGAAGAAGAGAAAGAAGGAGAAACAAGAACGTGGAACGGAATTGAATATCAAAGGAAGTGAAGTTCTTCAAACAGAAAAAAAAAAGGAAGTTGCTATGTCTGCGAAAAAGTGTAACAGGAAAAGGATTCAAGGAACTGAGATGGAAGCAGTTGAGACAGGACAATCACAACCAGAGGATGATAGTCCACCCCTTAAGACGAAGAAAAGGAAGCGGACTGAAGAGCCTGGAGTTGAGGGAACAGAAGGGAATACAGACATTATTCCCCAGTCGCATGAGTCAGAAAAATGTTTGGAAAAGAAAAATCGGAAAAGAAAAAACGTAGAAGCAGAAGAAGCAGTTGTATCAGAACATCAGCAAGTCTCGTCAGATGTTGAACATGAAAACGAAGGCGTGGTAAAAAGGAAGAAAATGAAGTTGGAAGAGTGGGATGGAGAACTGGTTGATGAAATTGGCACTGAGGAAGGAGTTGAAGATGTGGTTAAAAAGAAGACAAGGAAGAGAAGGAAGAAGCACATGAAGGATAAGCAAGATATTGAAGCTAGTCGACTGCAAATTTTGTCAAAGTATGTAATTATTGGGGTATTGGTGTTTGTAGACTGTTCGACTGGTTGACTGTGAAGTTATTTCATGGCACTGAAAGAATTCTGTCTTCGGAAATATAATACCATGTAGTCTGTTGAAAGTCAGCTGACTTTTGGAGGAACATGTTGCCTCAGTCTTAAGGATCTAAGAATAGGCCAAGCCAGAAACTAGTGTGAAGCAAGTTTCTCTCTTGGCTTGTTCTTCAACCCGGAATATGGAGGTGACATACTCCTGTGAAACATTCCTTGACTTTCAACAGACTATTAGGAGTTATATCTCAGTAGATATAACTCTTTGTGAGAACCTCAGATCCTACACAGCGCTATATCCCAGAAGATATAACTCTTTGTGAGAACCTCAGATCCTGCTATTTAATGGCACTGTTTTAACTTCAGAGTTTATATGGCATCAGATGGGTTGGGAAGATAAATCATCATTGGTCAGTGTACAAGGATTTTGAAGGAGGAAGCTATAGCCTATTTGAAGCAACTATCCNAACCACCACTGTGAGAACCTCAGATCCTGCTATTTAATGGCACTGTTTTAACTTCAGAGTTTATATGGCATCAGATGGGTTGGGAAGATAAATCATCATTGGTCAGTGTACAAGGATTTTGAAGGAGGAAGCTATAGCCTATTTGAAGCAACTATCCCAGCATTAACCCAGAAATACTGAGGAAAACTATAAGAAACTTCGGTTAGTGTAGTCAGTAGTCTAGCCAAGATATAAACTGGGTGCCTCCTACAAATTAATTCCACTTCACTAAAATATTCTGAAAAATCCAAATAATAAACATAACATCAGTGCATGTTTAGAAATGCTACAAGCTAGAAGGTTGTGGGTTAGATTCCCAAGGATGTTGGATTTTTCAATTTACCTAACCCTTCCAGCCGCACTATGGCCCTGGGTTTGACTCAGCCTCTAACAGAAATAAGTACCAGGAACCTTCCGGGGGAGTAAAGGGCACCTGGCACGTAAGGCTGACAACCTCACAGTTATCTGCGAGTGGATTGTGGGAGCCTCGATGTCTCACAACCCTATGGGCCGCCATGGCCTGTTAACAGGGATAGGTTTACCTTTTTACATCCAGGCCCAGCACAAGCATAAATGCTATCTTAGGCAACAGGAGCAAAGGTGCTCTTCTCTAAGGATCCAAGGAACTGTTAATACATTTTTTACCTGTTATTTTTCCAAAATACAGTTCATAGTGAAGCATGTCAGTTATCTTCATGTCTTCAATTAATTTTGTGTGCCATGCCGAAGCCGAGGCAGTAGTTTCCTGATCTCACTGCAGAGTCTTGTGTTCAGTCCTCATAGAGTTCATAGAGGATTTTTTTGTGGGCTGAACATTACTGATTCAGATTTCTTCTGAATCCCTTACTGATCACCATATTACTGATGTTCTGTACTCATCTGCTGTCCTTCAGGCCTGTGATAGGCCTACCCAGCCTGCATGTTCCGTTACAGTCTTGGTACTTCGTAGGGACTTTACTGTTGACTCAGCGCTCGGCAGTCATCAAGATTGAAGCTCTCTTGCTTTTCCCTTCTTTTGTCCTACATTTCATCCTTTCTTTGCTCTCTTCTTTTCTACTCTCCTCGCTTCCTACTCATTTGGACTTTGAGGACTACCACTTCATAATGTTTCATACTTTCAACACAGTATTTCATTTGCCTAAAAAGCTAGTATATCACTGAGTCTGCATTTGGAACTTAAATTGATAGCTGCAGAATCTTTAATCTGAATTTCAGGCAAGAATGGAAGCACTTACGTAACAAGTACCTGAATTTACAAAGACAAAAGATGGCGTGCTTGAAACAGTATCTTGGTAGGAATCGATGGAACAGTAATCCACAGTTTCAGCACCAGGATCGGTTACAACCTGCAAATGGGCACAACCACGAGGAGGAGCACCATGGAAATGAATCCACAGATATGGAAGCTTCAGTGAAACAAGAGACTGAGAAAGAACCAAGATTTACATTCACCCCTGGAGTTATTGTGCATGCGGTGCTTGATGAACCAGTCGTGGAAGTGCGGAAGTTCAAGGTAAGGTGCGGAAAATTATAGAGATGACGCATGTGAGTTGTATGTGTGCATGTGTGTGTCCAAAGGTGAGATCTATCAGTAAACCAATAAAGATTCCTCCCAAGATCTGAAAGAGAAGTTTACCCCAATTTAGCCCCTTGTGGTGTTCAGCAACCGATTCCGACATATAATTGTACTGTATTACCTCAAAATTCCTTCATTTGAATCATCAAAACTAAAATACTTTGCTGTAGGAAAATAATGTATATTAACCCATTGAAGTGCAGTCTTTACATGTGTTCAACCTGGTTTAACCATATGACTGACTGCCAAGCACCACCAAAGAAATGCCATGGTTGCTTGGGAGTAAATGCTGTTACACAGAAACACCCATAGTAGTTCCATAAATCAGAGAAAGCCTGTTCTTACCTCTGAAGCCATGGAAGCCATACACAACTGAGTGATTATTAATGTTGAGCCAATAAATCAGCTCTGGCAGTTTAACACAAGTACATCAAGCCAATCTAACTGGCTTGTGGTGTGCAGAGGATTATCGTCAAGAATATTATACGTTTTACTTGCACAGTATACAGTATTTATGGGTTTCATATGTGATACAATAAACAGTGATAATTTCCCTAAACAGCATTAACTGATTTCCCTTTGTGCTGGAGATGTGGTGTGTTTTCTGTGAAATAGGAACTGAATTTTTAATATTGTTTAGAAGAAACTCATGCTTCAGCGAGTTAAGTTGTGAAAGACTTACTGATGCTGACTGCTTTAACACCATCTGACAATCCTTGTGGCCATGAAACTTGATATAATTTTGTTGTGTTGAACAAAGATGCGTGTAGTGTTTCATGTTGCACGACTAAAATTGTACCATTTCAGGCTGATGCTAAAGCCCTTGGTGATGTAGAGTATGTGGATGTCATAATGGGCACAAATGAAGCTTTTCTTCGTTGTTCAACTGCTGCTGCAGCCGAGCAGTTGGTGTCCAGTGCACCGTGGCAGCAAGTGGAGATTCTTAAAGGTAAATTCTTGGATCATATTGACCCTTTGACTGCTGAGTATTTCTCAGCTTACAAACTCATCAGGTCTTTAGCAAGACACAGCAGACCCTCCTCCAGTGTGAAAATATTATTATTCTTAGCCGGGTGAGACAATCCACTTGGTACCACGGACACTACGGGCCTATTGTACCAGCCCCAGATGATAGATGATGGTCATTGTGGAGCAATTGGTGGAATGAAGATTGACAGGCGAAACCGAAAAAAAACCTGCTCCAGTGCCATTTTGTCCACCACAAATCCCACATAACTGACCTGTGCTCGAACCTGGGCCACCACAATGGGCAGCCGGCGACCAACCACCAGAGCTATGGCACAACCATAATGTGTGAAAATGAATGTGAACAGTTATTTGTGGAATGGGGGATATTTGTTTACAAACTTGGGTTTAAACCGTAAGGAGTATTCAGGATAAAAGAATTCTTTAAAATAATTTTAATTTTTGGTATAATTCCTTAGTTTTTTTTATCTAGGTAGGGAAACAGAAGTCTCCTGCTCCCCCACCGACTAATGGTAGTTATCTTTGGTTTTGTTGTTGCAATTTGTTTATCATCATTAACACATTAATATACCAACTGAATTTGTCTAATCAGAACACCTTTGAATTCAAATGCCTGTGTTTCAGAATCATGCCTTGAACTAACATTACTTTCGTGATGCATCTCTTTTCCAGTAAGTAAGGGACTGTCACTTACATCCTGTGGCATTTCACAGTTGTCAAGCGGCTAATGTCATCAGAACAGGCAGACTCATCCAGAATGCCTCGATTCCTGTAGTACTCCTGTCACTAGACATCACAGTGTGAGGGTGGTAACCACACATGACAGATCTTCCATTTCATGAAATATTATTCATTTAATTATTATTGCAATCTTTTCAGGCAAAGATGAATCTCAGTACTGGGCAAAAATCATCAGCGATCGTGAGCAGAAACTCTCTAACAATATCCGTGCAAAACACAGAGGACGTGATAAAATCTTAAGAAGGGCTGAAAGAGAACTAGGAAAGCACATAAGATTTGATGATTGAGGAAATCGCAGAAGCCATACTGTTTGATAGAGAAAGGTAAAGTCTTCGGAGTGCTTAATTAATTAAGAACATGCCATGCTGAGTGGAGGTATAGCTCCAAGTATGTTTGATGTGTTGACTTTGATATATGTAAATCTTCATGTAAAGTATGCCACAATATTGATGCAACACTTAAAAATGTACTGTAAATGATCAGTAATGATTGTGTCTACTACAGCATCATATTCTGCTAGTTATACAGATCCCTTATCTAGGGCCAGAACAAGCCTGCCTTCTTTCCTCAGCCTTTCCAATTCATTATTCACTATCATCAAATGCTTTGATGCTACGTAGTTCTGAGTACTGAGAGCATCCCTGAGTGAACTGCTGATTGGTACAGAAATCAACCTTGTTGTTGGCACCCAAATGCTCACCACTTTATCTGAACAGTAATGTGTTCTGACACCTTGTAGAGTGCTAGATGTTTACTGACATTTTTTAGGAATGCACAGTCTCCATCTATCTGAGACTCGTCCATACAACAGCGTCTAATACATTTATATCTCTTTTACATATGCAACTGCAGGAAACCCCAACTTAAGTACTGATAAATACAAATTTAGAATGATCTGGTTAAGGTGTTATGCTCCAAGGTAGGTCACCGGTTCAGTTCCTAATGTCATTGGATTTTTCAATTGACCTAATCCCTCCAGCTGCAGTATGGCCCTGTGGTCGACTCAGCCTGTAACAGAAAAGAGTACTAGGAATCTTGGTGGGGGTGAAGGGTGGCTGGTGCATAATGTTGACAACCTCAGCACCATCTGTTGGCAGACTGTCAAGAAAATGTGGGAGCCTTGATGTCTTGCAACCGTATGGGCCTCCATGGCCTGTTAACAGGGATAGCTTTACCTTATTATATTTAAGCATCCTGTTGCACTCTATACGATAAATGATATGATACAAATTCCGTCCCAAGTGCAAACAATATATTATGTGTCCTTGATCTTGTTCACCTACACTACATGTTTCGGCCTCAGACGGCCATCATCAGGTGTATAACACTCACGTTGCTGTCACACTGCACTCAGCCCAAAATTTAACATTTAAAACACTTTCCTTGTTATTATCAACATCTACTTCATTGATATCTGTCTGGTTTGTAGATTATTTTACACACGTTAATTTTGACGTTCCTGTAGCAGCACTATAAAATCTTTAGTTCTAATTTTAAAATCCTTTAAAATTTAAAATTGTTAGGGTTACTAGCCCTATGTCTAAAGTGCTGCAGCGGCTAGTTCTTGTTTCCACACTGTATAGGTGTTATCCTGTGTAGTCTTCCTGTGTGTGTGCTGCTGCTATTCTTTATCTTTCTGATTTTAAAATCAGAACTAATCATTATATCATTTATAGCTTTACCTGTTTACCTAGTTTCATGGATACAACTTGACAGTAGTGGTACTGCCATTCTGGTAGTCTAGCAGTACACACTGATTCAGCACATAAAATGTGTTTAATATATTTTTAGTAGAGAGATTTCAGTTTAAGAAAATTATAAAGTCGCAAGTACCATGCTGGACTCCGGGTAAAGTGGAGGGATGTGTATTGATGCAGTAGAAATGAATCCCATGAGACCATTAACTGGAATAAGAGGAGGCCATGTGAAAAATGAATAGCAATTTCAAGAGGTAGTTTGATCCAAGAAATTGGGAAATATTGTCAGAAGTGGAATATATGCAACAGAAGGCAACAAATTATCAACCTGCAGCAGCAATGGAATGTTGTATATCCCAAGGACAAACAGGAAAGGCCTAGGAAATGTTTCAGAATGGGGAATATATCACCCAAACTTTGTGAAGATGAAGTACTATGTAGGAATGCATGGTACAGTTGGTACTTCAAGATCTCCTGTCGTGTGTCTAAAACATCCTTGAAGTTGCATCATATCAACACAGAGTTGCCAGGTTCTATTTTCGTTGAACACTCAAGACTTCTTGTGAGGTTGCCTACTCCAAGTGTGATGTACCCTCAGCGCTGTTTTAGGCATAAAATATATTTTCCATATGTACTGGAACCATCCATACCTGACTAGAGAAAACATTAAGAATCCCTAATTGTTGACAGGAAAGAGCGCATTTCAGCTGGTTTCTCCCCCCCCCCCCCCCCAATCCAGTGCAACCCAAGGTTAGCAGCTGCTGCCTTAAGCAAGTTTCCATCTTATCTTCTAGATCAAGGTCAACTACTTGTTACTCATAAAGTTATAGGGGTGAACAAACTACTAAAATATGCCACCTTCTTCATGGGAGTATTTTCTTTGAAGCTGCATATTGCCTGCATTGAAGATAAGCTGAATTGCAGAGGCAGGTTCTGTCTAAGTTTCAAACAGACCCAGATCTGAATTTCCATACTTGTCATACCATAGCTCAACTGGCTTCCCACTGCAGTGGCCCAGATTTGATCGCAGGTCATGGGATTTGTGGTGGACGATGTGGCATATTTTCTCTGAGTACTTCAGTTTCCCCTGCCAGTTCTCATTCCATCAACTGCTCCACAATCTATCATCCAGGGCTGGTGGACTCAGGCTCCCCCCACCCCAAGAAATGGAAAGAATACATACTTCCTGCCCTATTTTGGGTGTTACTTGTAAGATGGCCAGAACCGACTCTGTTGACAGGTATTACTATCACAGTATGACATGGAAGCTGTAGAACATCTCAGCAGTTGACACTTCTGTGACGGTAGCACAGGCAATGTTAAGATGGATCTTAGAGAAATAAGTTGTGAGGTGAATTATGCATATATTGAACTGGCTGAGGTTAGGATCCAGGGGTGGGCTTCTGTGTTAGAGGTGTTGAATCTTGGATACCAATACTGGACAGTCATTTTAATGTCTTTAATTCTTTTGCAATAATACATCTTTCAGTTTTACACTGAATTCTTAGTTGTCCTGAATTTATAAAATGCATAGTTACTATTTAATACCCAATATGGGTGATAGACTTCATCTGTGGTCAGCGTTTTTATTTTGTTCCCATTTAATACAATGATGGAGAATGTTAAAGAACTATCTATTCCATCCGCCTCCGCCTCTTCTGAAACCTCCCCCACCTCCTCTTCCTCCACCACCGCCTCGATTATTAAATCCACCACCACCTCGGCCTCTGAAGCCTCCACCCCTTCCACCTCTCTGTCCTCCACCCCTTCCTCGACCACCCCCACCCCCCCTCTTCTGAACAGATCCAGGAGGTTGGGGCAAGAATCTTTTCAGTGGAAGCAGCTTCTGTGGGTTGATGTAGAGCTGAAACAAACAGCAAATTAATGAATATCCATGTTACATACAAAGGGGCCCAAAATTCAGTTAACAGGTTAGTAAAATGTACAGTAAAATACATTAGAAATGTGTTTATTACTTAATTTACCAAAATTGTTCAAAATGAGATCCTTCACGTTCAGTGCACGATGCTGTGATACTGTTTTGCAAATTGTAAATCTAAACATTCCTGTTAATACAGAATGTGTTAGGTTAAACGATTTTTGGGCCACTCTGTATACCAACTAGGCACCACAGCAGAGGGTGTGTAAGAGAGTGGAGATGCAGCTCCACACCTCAGCACCAGATTGATGTGAATGGTCAGCTTGATGCTCTGGCCACTTTACTACAAGGGAAATACATGAGTAACATGTATTTAGTGTTTAATATCAATAAAACAAATGCCTCCTGTCATCTCAGATACGATAAGCCAACTATTTGTGGTTTTTTGACAGCAAAATTATGTTACCAGGGAAATATTTTGAAAGATGAAAATTCTTCGGCATGCAAAGGGTAAATGACACAATATTAAGTTACTTAATATTTGGTTAAATTCGGATATCGCCTCTTTGTGTCCCTCGTCATTCATAATTAAGAAATTTTATGTGTATGAAGAAAGCGGTCTTCTGGGATGAGCAGGTAGGATATTGTGTCAGGGGAGAAAGGCAAGGTTAATGGGAGGGCATTAACCCTTAAGCTGGGGGGTTGCTATGCGAGTCAGTCATGGACTGCGTAGCCTTGTGGATCTGGTGTCCTGGGGGGGGGGGGTTAGGGAACAGACGGGAGGCTTCCATGACACTCTTCACCAGGGTGCCTATAAAGGATACTATGGATCTGCTAGGACAACATTTCGAAGAAGATATCTTGAGACTCTTCTGACATGTCCTGACCACCTCATACTTCAGCTTGAATGGCCAGTTCTATGAACAAACCGGTGGTGTGGCGATGGGCTCGCCACTTTCTCCGGTCATCTCTAACCTCTATATGGAGGACTTCGAGGAGAGGGCACTTGACTTGGTCCCACACAAGCCCTGCTGCTGGTTTTGCTATGTGGATCTGGCCACATGGGCCCAACAAGCTTAAGGACTTCCTGAACCACCTAAACAGTATCCACCAGTGCATTCAGTTCACAATGGAGGCTGAAACTGAGGGCCACCTCCCCTTCCTGGATATAGATATTTATAGGAGACCTGACGGTTCTCTGGGCCATAGAGTGTACCACAAATCCACCCATACAAACCTCTACCTTAATGCTACGTCCCACCACCACCCTTCCAATAAGCAAGCTGCACTTTCCACACTGGTGCACAGGGCTAGAGCTCTTTGTGATCAAGACAGCCTACTTGTGGAGTTGGTGCTCCTGGGGGATGTATTCAGGAAGAACGAATACAACAACCGGCAGATCCACAGAGTTTTCAGCCAGCCTGAAGATAAACCAGGCTCAGTCGCCTTCCTGCCGTATGTCGGGACTATATTCAACCATATCAGCAGAGTGCTATCCCAGCACAACATCAAATCAGTGGGTCTGCCTCCAAACAAATTATCGAGTTTCCTCTGGCCAGTCAAAGATAGCCTGGGACTAAGGACACCCGGTGTATACAGTATCCCATGGACACGAGGTTGAAGGAGCATCAGCGGCACATCTGTCTCGAACATCCAGACAAGTCAGCTGTAGCTGAACACAGCACTGATTTGGGACACCGCATTCAGCTTCAGAATACCTCCATCCTCACCACCAAGACCCGCTATATTGATCACATCATTAGGGAAGCCATTGAGATTGAACTCCATCCCGACAATATGAACAGAGAGGTGGGGTTTTGTCTCAGCAAGCCATGGAAACCTCTCATCTGTTCCCTAACCTCCCCCACCCCGAGACATTAATGACCTCCCATTAACCTTGCCTTTCTCCACGACACAATATCCTATACCTGCTCCCCAGACTCTTCCCCTCTCCCTCCACTGATTTCCCCATCTAGACTTGTCCATTCCTTTCCTGCTCTCATATAGCTGAGTTTATTTCTGACATTAGTCTGCTTGCATCTGCTCTCACTGTTTCTTTGCTTGCGGATTTTATTCTTCCTTCTACCATAAAGATGGAGGCGATACGTTCCTCCAAAATGTCAGTTAACACCACATCTACACAGTGCCACATCCCAAAAGACCACTTTCTTCATAGTCACCACTGTGAAAACCTCAAATCTTACATTTTATGTGTATGTTTACCTTCTGCTGTGCTTTGAAGGATTTAACTTTGACATCATCTGAAAGTTTTACTGACACATAATAGTCCCGGATGTTACCAAATATTTCATCTATCTTTCCAATTTGCTCTTTATTCTGCAGATAAATTGGTGCATTGAAATATGGGACATCCTCAATCTCAACTTTTACTACAAGGTCATCCTGAGCAGGGTACAAGTATGAACCCAAAGGAATCACCTGGAAAAGAGAACAGATCACTCAGTTTGGGGAACAACATGCAGTATCCCAGTAACATCTTGTGGGGGAATTCATTTAATTCCCTCATCACGAAGTTGTGTAACAAATATAACATTTAATCATTGCAGTTGAAATATAACGATTATGACAACAGAATGGGCAAATTCTATGTGGAAACAGTATTAAGCACTGTCAAAATAAACTGTTTGCCTTTGACTGTATGCCACAGTATTGTAATAAACTGTTATACATAAACATGACCTACTTCTTCTGGAGGTCCTTGATCTTGGTAGCCCCCATAACTATTTCTTCCACCTCCACCTGAAAATATATAATAATTTTATAAGTTGTTGCATTAATTTAAAATTATATATAATTATACACCAGACCTCAAGAAACTAAATTCTGGGCTAAGAATCACTTCTAAATATTATATTTTATATACAGATATTTTTAATTTGTGTATCTGGAAAATACAGATTTGGCAACAAGCCTTGCAACTAAAAAGGAATAATCCCAAGAACATCTAAATTTATATTCCACATAAGCAAAATGTCACAAAGTACTTAGGTGAATTTGAAAGAGTGAATATTGAGTTTCAGCTACTCTCTCAAAATCACCCAAATAATATAACAGTGTGACAACGCAAGCTTCATTGCTTAGCAATATGTCCGACTCTAGGTTACATAGGAAGATACAGTTACAGTTCTACAATTCTGATTCAGTGTGTTCGTTATTGTTCGTCTGTGTATACAGTGCAACTGTAATAAATACTATAGGACTGTTCAACTAGTGGTTGTCTCTTCATATGACATCCCACAACAGTAATGTCATGAAGTTGTAATCAGAAGCACTAGAATCAAATCTCTCTTGACTTAGTTACTATTCTCACTGAGGTTTCTACTTCTGTCTCTGGATGAATGCATGAATAGTACCTTAAAATAGGCTGTTCCCACTTTCAAATCCTTACCTACTGACCATTCAAGATCTCATTTAATGCTATGAAACAAATACAGTCAAAACTGGTCCAGAATTTTGGGTCACCTGAACTTCAATGTATGAGTTTTAAATGCAATTATAAAACAAACATACAGAAGATGCAACGTCATGCTTCTTACAGTTAAAAACTGCTGGGTCCTTGTTTAAGCTTTGTGGGGGATCTTATGAGGCATGTATCATATACACATTTTGCAAAGTAAAAGACAAATTGGTATGCTTATAGTACATATAAACGGATATACTAACCTCTACCTCTACCGCCACGTCCATAATAAGATCCTCCGCCACCTCCTCCTCTTCCATATCCACCACCACCGCCTCCTCTCCCGCGGGAATGGAAAGACATGGTCCAAGGCAAAAATTTCAAGATACTACACTAGTTACAATCTCAGGGGAAATCTTCAGCAGTTATATATACTCCAAATTGCAATGGCAATCAACTGATTAAGTGACACGAATGCGTTACTGTAATCTTGTGGTATGCCAAAACAAAGCCACGTGTTCGAAGCTTTCGAGGTTAGAAACGTTCTCGGTATTTCGACATTAAATTAAATAACATAATAAAAACAATATAAGCACCGGCCTATTTCAATAATCTGGCACTATTTATGCCATTCATGTAATTCTATAATTCTTTAAAGTCGTCACAAATATTTAGCTTCGCATCCCACTAACATTCACTATACGCCAGCGAATAATACTTCTTTACAGCTTTACCACAAGCTAGCAGTGGATACGAAATCGTTGCGATTGAGCCACAGATGAACGTAATATTAAAGTTATTTCCTTCTGAAATATAATTGTATAAACGCATCAAGTAAATTTTCTTCGGGTGAAATTTCAGAAAAGAGTATTACAGTTTTTATCGCTAAATCAATTGGTAGTTATAAAACTTATAAAATTTCTTTTGACTCATATTAAAGTCGATATTTTATTTCGATACCTCGAAACAATTTCTTAGTTAGTGCTCTACGTTTGTGTTACGAAGTATGTGTGTGTTATTCTTGTACTATTTATTATAGGGTGATAAGGATGACTACAATAAAACCTATTATTAAGTCTACATTAACTTCATCTTCAAGATCTGGAGCTCTGAAGAGGAAACTTGAAGATATTGATCCGATAGACGAAGTTGAAGAACCGAGAAGTATGATTTTCCCATGTGATCGAAGTATTTTTTTGACGTAATAAATTTATGTAGTATTTCATGTACTTGGCTCGATATTATTATTTGGCAGAGTTGTTAGCTCAAATGAAACATTATAGCGCAAGCTCAACTCCATTTTAACCTATCTAACCTCCTGTCACAGAACTGAAAATTTGCCTGCCGCAACAGGACCTAATACAAATATTCGAACGAGACAGATTCAAAGCACCAAAGCTATTTCTGATATCACATTTTTAAGGTGCAGGAACTTTTATCTCAGTCACAATTGTATCGTAAAAGTTTGCTTTTTACAGTTATGAATGCACCTTCACTGAATAATATGCGAGGCTGTAATGAATAGGAAGAGTGATAGTTCAAGCCCACCATCTGCTGATACGTTTTAGATAGTATATTAAGAAATGTGTTTAGACTGCAAGGCTTGGTGGTGCGTGCATGTGTTTATAACACAGATAGGACTCAAATTGACATGTTAAAAATATCATGTATGATGGAAGTCATATTGTGTTAATACTGATGTGATTTTGCGGTTATGCCACTGCTTCTAACTTTTAACTGTGGTGTCTTATATTTCAGTCCCAAATAAGCAGAGAGTGAAGACTTATCGTCTTTGTCCGTACCTTGATACAATCAACAGGCAGGTGTTAGATTTTGACTTTGAGAAGCTCTGTTCAGTTTCTCTATCAAGAATCAACGTATATGCCTGCCTTGTTTGTGGAAAATATTTCCAAGGTTTGTAATTATATTTTTGTGACAGTTTTACAGTGCAGTATTGTAAGCCTCTTAGAATGCATCCATAAAACATCACCAGCTATGTATGTTTTGTGTAACACAGTTCAGTTATATGTACTACACCAAATATGTAATGCAAATTAAATTTACCTGAGGTTTACTAAGGGAAAAAGAAATTTAATTTTTGTTTTTCAAAAAGTATATATGTGTAAGTGGAATAGGAACAGCTGGTTCGCTTAATGACATCTGCTGGTAAGTAACCAAAACATGACAAACCATCATATGATGGAAAGAGAAAGCCGGTTAACATGTAGCATAGATACTCGTATGCCATTTATGTTTTGTGCTCGCTTTGTAAGTGAATTGCCTCTGTCATATGATATGATTACTGTCTTTTCATTTATTTTAACAGGTCGAGGAAATAACACACATGCATACACACATAGTGTGGGGGAGAGCCACCACGTTTTCCTCAATCTTCACACCCTTCGATTTTATTGTTTGCCAGACAACTATGAAATTATTGGTAAGTTTCCTCCATTGGGAGAAGTTGTATTAATACAGAGATGGTGATACCAGGTGCAAGTGAGTTAACCAGCTAGAACAAGGAGAATGGTGGAAGACCTGGCTTATTCTTCTGCTCTGAAGACTGAGTCAGTGAACAGCTGTTACTTCTAATAGAAATGAAACCATGGTTCATCAGTCTTCCAGGAACTGTACTGACTGAGCTATCCTGCTCCAGAGGTACATAAAAAAAAAGTAAAGGTATTCCTGTAAGAGACCATGGAGGCTCATAGGGTTGTAAGATGTTGAGGTTCACACATTTTCTAGACAGTCAGCTCACAGATGGAGGCAAGGTTATCAGCCCTACGTGCCGACTGCCTTTTACCCCCAAGAATATTCCAAGAATATTCCTGGTACTCATTTCTGTTAGAAGCTGAGTCGACCCCAGGGCCATAGTGAGGCTGGAAGGATTAGGTAAATTGAAAAAATCCAGTGACCTCATCAGGACTTGAACCTGCGACCTTCTGGCTTGTAGCATAGTGCCCCAACCAACTGCGCTACCGCGTGCAGTATATAATTCAAAATTGTATTTGCTGACAAGTAGTGCACTCTGCCATCAGAAGCTAAGTCCACTTCTGTATCCCAAACATCCTTACTTCATTGCTTAAATTTTGTTTGAACAAGTTCATGCTGCTTCTTTCTGCAAGATCTGTGCAGCGCAGTATGCTGAGAATTGGTTCCTGAAACACAGTTGGGATACAGATATCTTTTCTCGTGGATTTCAGATTCCTCTTTGGATGACATCAAGTATGTCCTCAACCCCACGTTTACCTCCGAGCAGATAGGATCAATGGAGTCCAGTGACAAACTATCTCGAGCAATAGATGGCACGATGTATCTTCCAGGGATAGTTGGCCTTAATAATATTAAAGCAAACGATTATTGCAATGTGATTTTACAGGTTAGATTTTGTACCATAATTTTGTTAGTTCTTAAAGACAAGCATCAAATTTTCCTTGTGTCTCCATCTTATGACACAAATTTGTGTTTTTTGTATGACTTAGTTACTTGAGTTTCAAGGCTTTGTGACAGATATTATAATAACCATCTGATAGTTTAGAAATGATGGCCTTTTCTGTAACAGAGCAACACACTCCTGCCTTTGCTGGGACTAAGTAAGCGTGGTCATAAAATATACCTATATTAGCTAAAAATGGGAAGTCAAAGAAACCTTATCAGATCCTTGTGTGCTGTAGACTTCCTGAAAGTAGCTGTGGGCCGTCTTCATGTGCGGATTTGTCAGACTGTTCTCCCACGCCACTTACTTTATGTTATAGGCGCTGTCACATGTGACTCCCCTGAGAAATTATTTCCTCCGAGAGATAAATTATGCCCGCGTGAAGAGACCTCCAGGCGACAGCTCATTTCTGTTAGTGCAGCGTTTTGGTGAACTCATGAGGAAGTTATGGAACCCTAGAAACTTTAAGGCTCATGTTTCTCCACATGAAATGCTTCAAGCTGTTGTTCTGTGGAGCAGAAAGAAGTTTCAGTTCACTGAACAAGGTGAGGTATCGGCTTGACGACAGCCACATTACAGTGTAGTGTCGCAAGTCTGTACATCTGAATTTGATGTGTATCTCATTATGGACCAGCTTCCTGTTATTCATATTGAAGAATTCCATCAGCAGATCCAATGGAATGAGTCAGAGACAGTTTGCAGTAATAATCAAACACTTTTGTGTCTACTGCCACTGGTTCAGAGTCTTTGTTAATGTGTAATGCTGATTTTGTCCAGAAGCACTGCAGTGTGCAACCATAATTTGTATACTTGCTCTTTACATAATTGTATCACGAGCTTGTGTAAGGCGTGACAGAGTTCTATATTTTTACCAACTGGTTACGGTAGCCGAGCAGTCTAAGGCATGCACTGTCTTCGCTCTATGAAGAGTAGTATCTTCTGGGATGGGACACTGGACCCTGAAGATGGAGGCAGTGTGGTTCTCTGAAACATCATTTCACTTCTGCCAGTTGAATTGTGTCACATCCCAAAAGACATTGCTCTTCAAGTAAACTGCAAACATCAAGCTGTTTAGAGAGAAGCATGTTAAAATTAATCGGATGTGATAACAGCGAGTTAGTATGTTTGATCTATTTAATAAACATTAATGTTTCAGGAGATCCTATTGATTTCATGTCATGGTTTCTAAATGCTCTGCACATTGCTTTGAACGGCTCAAAGAAACGTGACTCGTCCATTGTATACCGTTCATTCCTTGGCTCAATGAGGATCTACACTAGAAAAATTCCACCCATTGAACTGGAGGAGGAACAGAAAGAGGCCCTTTTGCTTATGGACGAGTACCAGGAGAAAGTAACGGAGTCACCATTTCTCTATCTGACGTGTGACCTCCCACCACCCCCACTGTTCAAGGATGAATTCCGTGAGAACATCATTCCTCAGGTAAGGATTAGGCACCAGTTGCAGTCTGCATTAGCTGATATATGTCTTAATGGCATGGCTTGGCAGTTATATTGCTCAGTTCCTGCTCGGACATAAGGATTGTCTTACTGTGTATCACTTGCAGCCACTCATCGTTTTGATATTGTACGCAGTGTGGGGTAAGTATTGTAACTGGACAATACTGTTTGCTCACATCAGGTTGGCTGCAAGAACACTTCTCTCTTCACTGTATTTGCTGTGTGACTGTGTATGTATTTCTACATACACTTATGTATGGGTCTTTATCAAATATTTTGGAACTGACAGAATAATCCAACAGAAGCTGAATTTAGTGGACTTTCAGGCCATGCCATTGCTCAAGCCGTAAGTCACTGGCTTCCCACTGCGGTGGCCCAGGTTCGATCCCGGGTCTGGTCAAGTGGGATTTGTGGTGGACAAAGTGGCACTGGGGTGTTTTATCCGAGTACTTCGGTTTCCCCTGCCAATCTTCATTCCACCAAATTCTCCATCATCATAATCAACCGGGGCAGGCTACAGTAGGCCAATCAGTAGCCGCCGTGGCAAGTGGACCCAGTTGGACTCCAACCCCCACTAAGCGAATTTTAATTTAGTGAACTTTCAAAAGAATTATGGATACAAAGAATATGAATTATAACACATGTTAACATAAGCATATGGCTAAGTATGTTATAGTCCTTGATAGTTACAACTTAGTTGAAGTAAATCCTATGTTGCCTTAAAGAAAATCTTGATATTATTATTATTATCCCACATTTTGGTGAATTTTTATTTAGTAAATAACCTGCCTTTAGTGGAACAAATTTTCATCCTTCCAGAACTTGCCCTTTGATTTATTTTCTTGTATCAAAAATAACAGTCAGTATTCATTTTGTTTCTCTGCCAGAAATCCTTTCCACCCTACCCTTTTGTTTATTTCATACGCTGTTAATTTTAGTATATTATCATATGACACCTGAAAGCCAGAAGTGTGGAGTCAGAGAAGCACAGCAGAGACGTTTGTTGCTAGACAACGGCTAGTTGAAACACATTTCCGCAGCAATGAACGCGCCTGTATAAACCAAGGTGTTGCTCAGAGATTGTCACACATTTCGTGGCAACAGAGAATAACAGAGAACAATCAGCTGCCCCACTCTGTGATCTGTATTTGTTCCACATGAAGTTACTTCAATCTGAGATTCAGAGATCCGGATAGAGAATTTGAAAGAACAAGCAATGTCTAAGCAAGCAAACGTTGAACACTTTATTTTATGTGTCATAATTACAGTAATCTTCAGAGTGTTATAATTACTTGTAGTTAACAACTTGTGAGTATCCAATAAATCCAATCACCAAATCTAGAGCCCCCAGTTATTCGTCACCCTAGCTACTTATACGTTACACCAGTGTTCCGCAACCAGTGTGCCGTCACAAGGTGAAAGGTGTGACGTGAACTTTTATCTATTGTAAGAAATTAATTGTCGAATTTAATTAGTTTTATTTTATCCCAGTTACCATGTTTCATATGCTTGTATTTTATTCTCAGCCACTGCACTGATTAAATAAGATGATGCTTGTTTATTCTTTAGTACATGCCGTGATTTTTTATGTACAGTAATGTTGTATTCTAAGAAATTAAACGTAAATGATTTACTCACAGTTGTTGTTATATCATAGTTTTCATTATTGATTTATTTTCATTTTTCTCACATCTATGCGACTTCTTTGATAAACTTGCCGCATGTTCTGTGTACGTGCTTTTCCCTAAAACTGCAGGGATTAGCAAGGGTTTCCCTGTCTTATATAACGCTGTTTTGGTTATCATGAGGAAAAGTGTTAATGCGAATTTTTGAACGTAATGAGAAGGTATGTGCATTTTTTACTGTTGAGGGGCATGAGTACACAAATTTGTTTGCAGATGATGAATGGGTATGTAAGTTGGCATATCTTTCCGATATTTTCATACACTTGAATTTGCTGAACAGAAAGATGTAAGGTAGGAACGAAAATAAACTAACTAATATGGATAAGGTACAAGGATTTGTAAATAAGCTGAATTTGTGGATACAGAGAATTACAGATGGGTCGTTTGAGATGTTCCCAACTGTATGGTCACTTGCTGACGGCAATAAAGTGGTGATGGACACAATTAAAGAACATTTTGAAATGCTGCAGCAGAAATTCAGTAAGTATTTTGGAGAGAGTGTACAAGATTTCGACTGGGTTCGTGATCCATTTGTTGCAAATTCAGAACATCTTCCGATTAATATACAAGAGGAACTCGCAGATTTAAAAGGAGACAGAACATTGAAACTAAAACTTCTCAAAGTGCCTTTGGATACGTTTTGGTTGGCAATAAGGAGTGAATACCGGGCTATGTCTGAGATGGCAGTTAATGCGTTATTGCCATTTTCAACTACATATTTGTGTGAACTGGACTTCTCGACATTAACTGAAATTAAGACATCAAAGAGGGAGCAGCTCAAATCCATCGATGAAGAAATAAAACTTCTGTTATCAACGATTCCACCACGGATCGGTCGCCTGTGTGCAGCTACGCAGGTGCAAGTATCACATTGAAGTTATGAGTAAAATTACTGTATTTACTTTAATAGTAATAGAAGTGTATTTTCTACACTACAGTGAATTCAAGTTCATTAATTGTTAATAAAGGCACGAGTCGATTTCTGTTTAATGTTAATAAAACAATAATATTATAGTAATAAGTTGATCACGTTACGTATTTATATTAATTGTCTGGTATCATGCGTTTTTGAGGGGAATAACATTTTGGTGTGCCACGAGTAGGAAAAGGTTGCGGAATACTGTGTTACACTGTTGTTGTGTATGTAATCATATTTTTATTTGTATAGAAATAGTTTCTTTGTCTGCTTATTAAATGTGTTATTTTATAATTGTTTTATACAGTGAGTTATAAGAAGATGAACAGTTTCTTAATGTAATTTTGCATAATCCTCATTTGGTGTAAACCTCAATTTAGTTTAAGAAATGCCATTCCACGAGAGATTCATTAAATATAGACTTTAGTATAGATTGAAACATCTGAAGGAAAGTACCATTCTTCCCAGGACTTATGGTGTGTGTGCATGTTCCAGGTAAATCTGTACACCCTGTTGCAGAAATTCAACGCCCAGACTGAAAAAGAGTACAAAACCTACAAAGAGAACTTCATGAAGAGGTTTGAGATCACAGAACTGCCGCCATATCTTATCCTCTACATTAAGGTGTGTTTTCAATGAAACAGTTTAGTATAGACAAGAAAGTGAAAAATGGCACACACTCTGCACGTCCTGTACACAGGCATTTTGATTGTTTAAAACAATTCAAATATAGAGTAACATCGGCAGGTACATGAGGTTCTCATGGTCGTGACTATGTAGATTGTCTTCCAGTATGTGATGCCATGTAGCGTGGTAAATGTGTATTCTACCCTGAAGACAGAGGTAATGCTTTCCTCTGAAACACTGGTGAATATCTACCACACTTCAAGGCATCACATCCCAGATGACAGGAATCTTCGAGAAAATTAGGATACATAAACAACTAAATTGAATGATATTTGAGTTAACAGCTTTTCAGTGGAAGTGGAGATGAAATCAAACGGGTAACAAATTTTCGGGCTATGTTACCACTCTTGAGAACAGTTATTTTGTAAGTTTGAGGTACCTGCATAGTATGATTTGAAAATGCTGACTTTACATTGAACATACGTTGTCTGTTCCAGAGATTCACAAAAAACACTTTCTTTGTGGAGAAGAATCCAACAATTGTGAACTTCCCAGTCAAGTAAGTTTTGCTTTGTTTTCTAGTAATCCGTTGCTTCAAATACACCATTGTATGGCTTCTAATATAATAATGAAATGTAACCAGGCATATAATTTAGAATATTTACATAAAATGCATTGTTCTTTCATTTTTTATAATGTGTAATGACTAGCTTTACAGAACTTTTACATTTAAAATGGAGGTAGCAGGTTTCTCGGAAATGTTGCTACCTGTTTACCATGGCTTCATGCCCAAGAAGACAGTAATATGATACTCGTTGCCATCAGAACCTCAGATCTCATACGCTGAGATTGCTACTTGGACACTCCACTTTGTAACTGCATATTCAGTATTTCATATAATGGTGGTTGCTGCTTTTACCACCTGACATTGTGTCCTACAACACAAAATAAATGTGCGACTTTCCTTTGATTATTAGAATTATGGGAATTTTCCTAACCTTAGCCAACTGATATTTGTGATGAGTGTTTGTTGAATTTATATTCATAGAATTTCAACTAAATTTTAAATCTGAGCAGACACTTTCTCTCTGTATCGTAATCTTGTCCTGAAAGATATTATTCCTGTAAAGCACTGCCTCAGCTCGGTATGTAACTGCTTCAGCATTCAGGAACTTCTTATTTTGTCCATGGCATGTAATATGAATTTTGTATAATCCTTGAAATAATCATAATTTTTTCCTTAAACTACATTAAACATCTTTATAATGGAGGAATAGTGCACTTCTTGTGGGACAGGAACTATTATTTATATGAATTTCATGCTCTAAAGTTTATTTGCATGGCATTACAGAAATGTTGATTTTGGAGACATCCTAACCCAAGCAGTGAAAGAGAGGTATGCATGCACAACATATGACCTGGTAGCTAATATTGTACATGATGGAGAACCTGGCAAAGGGACCTACCGGGTTCATGTGCTACATAAGGTCAGTGCGCTGTAAAGTTTTCCAATTCCTTGTAAATTACAACCATTTACATTTTTGTAAAGACATACAGCGGGATGCATAAACTTCATATGATGTATGCATAAACACTGTGTTTTCACACAGGTGGTAACCATTAAAGCCTTAGTACTGGGAGAATATTATAATTTACATAATAGTAGTGATTATGTTATATTTTTGGTTTTATGTGTCACTTAGAGATGCCAATGTCATTCCACCATATCAACATACAAATGAGTTAATCTTTGTTTTTGCTTGCAGTGGCTGTGGTTATTGTCAATGTCAGGTAGATGGGATTGAACATTAGCCCCACTTCATAATTTGATAGCAAATGTACATACAGTTACATCTTTCAAGTCTTCCTAGTATCTTCATCTGGTTTTATATTTTTTATAATTTAGGGAGGATGAGCATAGTTGGTTGAGGCACTGTGCTACAAGCTGGAAGGTTACAGGTTTGAGTCTGAATGAGGTGGATTTTTCTTTTTCCAATTAACCTAATCCTTCCAGCCACACAATGGCCCTGGGGTCAACTTAGCCTCTAACAGAAATTAGTACCAGGTATCTTCTTGGGGCTAAAGGGCGGCTAGCGCGTAAGGCTGACATAGAATATGTGGGAGGCTTGACGTCTCACAACCCTATGGGCCTCCACGGCCTGTTACAGTGATAGCTTTACCTTTTTTTTTTTTAATTGCATGCAAATGAATATGTTAATATATGTATTGAGCATATATCAGTTACTGGACCATAACGAACATCATCTGGACAAATGAACTTCCCAGTTTCACACATTTCTGATGCTTGCAGGGAAGTGGGAAGTGGTATGAGATGCAGGATCTTCATGTGACAGACATTCTCCCGCAAATGATTACACTCACGGAAGCTTACATACAGGTGAGGCCATAAAGCTAAGCTCTCTGATCAGTAGAAGAGGAATGTCAAGGCTCAGTTTCTACAGACATCCTGTAATTCAGTCAAATAGCATTATTACTGTATTAAATATTGTAACATGTTTCGTTACTGAATACGCCATAGAGATCGTTAACTGGTTTATTGAACAATCTACAACTATCGGCTACACTTAATTATCACAACGTTACGGGTTTCCACAATTTACAAACCCTACAACAAAATCTCTTAACACTGTCTTCAAGAGTCTTCAAGTATTAATAACACGGGAGCTATACAAGTCTCCCTGAAATACACACTCCGAGTATAACTGTACTACAGCACTCACTATGTCTTGAAAGCACACAATAAGTCTTCCGCTCGCTGACTTCTTAGTTATCGCACACTCGCAGGCTGCTATGTTTCAACTCGGCGGCAGTCACAGTACAACTCGGAACTGTCTTCGGCGATGGCCAGGTTACAACTCGACTCGGCGACTGTTGCTATATGTCAACTCGGCTCGGCGACTATTACTTTATAACTCGGCGGCTGTCACAGTACAACTGCCTCACAGCCGCTGTGCAGCTCACTTATATAGCTGCAGTGCTGCCTGTTGCGTTCCACGTCACAGTAGGAAGTTGATTACGGGTACGTAGCGTTGCGCGTTACGTCACCGCGGAGGGGTGGGAGGGAGCGCTACGTTACCGCCACGCGCCTGTGGCCTGAGTTGCCACGTTGCTGCTGGGTAGGGAGGGGTTCTCCATTGCGCAACATGTTACAATATTTTATTAATTCAAGAGAAACATGTTCATGCTTCTGTTAATTCAGTGTCGCTTCTCCCCAGGGTGTCCACAGAGCATCACTTCATCTGAGACATTGCAGTCTGTAATGTAAACAGTGCTTCAGAATTTTCTGGCGAGATGCTTATTGTCAGTCATATATTGCATATACAGTACCATCTTTTGAGAAACATTTGGTAGGACAGGAAACCACCATCATAAAAGTTTTATTTTAAATGATATATTTTGTATGAATACTCACAGGTGGAAATGATGAGAGGATAATTATTAATGCAGTCACAATTTTTATGAAATAATAATCATGCTTGAAGACATCGATTTGTTGAGTTTATGATAATTCTTTTGTTTCAGATATATGAATTGAAGGAGACAAAACAGGAGCGAGAGTGATGTTCATTATCGGGGTGCAGACAGCAGTGATACCATATTTTGTATTATGTAACATGTACTTTTAATATGGACTTCAATTCATATAAATATATTGTTCCCTTTTCTCCATCAAAAGAAGAAAATTGTATTCAGTACGTCAATAAATGTACTGAAATACTTATTCTTAACCTGTACAAAATGAACATAGCAATTGAATTTCTACAGTGTTTATGTTGAAATCAGAGAACATAGATCTGTTTCAATGTGAAGGTATTCTCGTTAACTGAAATAATATTCGGTGCAGACCCACCATTCAGAGCAGAAAGGTAATTTGCCATACAGTTTTTAAATAGACTGTTTCTCTGATTGTCAAACCCGGCTGCTAATCCAAATCCCAACATTGGACCAAATCTCGAACCATTTTCCTCCAGTTCCCATCCTCACAACATTTTTTCCTAAAATCAGTCTTAAAGTTACCCTCCATCACCTTTTTGGATCTTCCCCACCACAATTCTGTATGCATATTGACATAACATTTCACCATCAACCTTGACATATCAATATTAAAATGCGACAGAAAACGTGGTGGGATGTGGAATGGGTTGATCTGGCTCACGCTGGGACTTAGTGGTATGCTGTGAACGCTATAATATATAATGTGAGCCCTTAAAGGATGGGAAATCATGAAGGGCTATGCCCCATGAATGGGCATTATAATAAAGATCATTGGTAGTATTGCCAGAGGTATGACGCCTCGGAATATGGTAGGAAGGTACGAATGTTTAGGTGGAGCGTGCCGCCTCAGTCTTCAGAGCGTAAATGCAAAAAATTGAGATAACGTATTTATCTTAAACTTAACGCCTATGTTTCAAACTCATACTTCACATCCAAAAATATAGTAATCTTTATAGCCAACGATTACAGACCCTCAAATCTCGCACCGTAGTAATAAGTTTAATTTATTGCCAGTCTGTTTTAAAATCATATTCCCGCATTTATGTTACGTCACGTTGTACACTCGTTTCTAGCGTCGATTGTACTACGTAGTGGACGCCTAAGAGTCCGTTGCTTTGACATGCCATCTGTCGCCGACCCTCCAAACTTCCAAGTTCCGTTAAAGTAGACGCAAGACAAGGCAGAAGCTGCGTCCCGCGTGTAGAAGAAGTATGTTGTTCATGTTGTGTTGGTGGTTCTGTCGTGGTAGTTTTGTTTTTGTCGTGTTATAATTAGTGTTGTGACGTCTATGCACAAAATATTTCCCGTGTAAATTGGTTTTACTACGAACCACGGGTTTACAGATACCAAGTACGGATAGCCTCTTTCAGGTTTTATCACCGCTGCATGCAATAAGCTTACCTTCGCGCCTGTTACCTTGTTTGTGAAGTGAGAGAAGTGTTATAACACCTGAGTGGAGTGACACATGTATTCAGTATTATAGCCTGGGATAATGTGGCATTCACACAAGGAGCAAGCCAATAAAGTGTGAAGATTTTTGTTGTAATTGCATTTCCTGAAGGCTGACACGCGGTCAAATGCGGTACATATCACAGGTAGGCTAACCTAATTATATAATGGCCGTAATTATTCATAAATAAATATTCGTATGGTGTTTGCAGCTTTTAATGTGCATGAATATTCATGTACGGGTAGGAAACAAGGTTAAATATGCAATGTGTTGTTTCTTTTAGATTATAGTGAAACTGGGACAGTGTTGGTTCGATAGGACGAGAATATTTGTTGGTCAATTCTGTCGTTTGGCGGACTTTTACTGCATTACGGATCTTAGTGATTATAGGATTTCTTTTTTTATTTTGTTGTTTAGCGACGCTGTCAGTATCGAGGATAGGATGATTATTGATATGGTGGTTTGTGAAATGAGAATTAAAATTGTATTACTACAGTATAATGTATAATAATAATTACGTAAAACATATCATAGAATCATTTATAAAGTCATTCTAAATTGTCTCTAGTCACATGGAATATCATTATTTACTTTTCCTGTATCCCTTTCTGTAATTTTATTACGCAAATCACTTCGTTCGGCCCGAACATTGGAGTCTCCTTCGAATCTTGCTCGAGGCATTTACGGAGTGGCCCAAAAGCCAATTAACCCCAGACATTCTCTCGTATGAGTGAGAATGTTCAAATTTAAACTTGCCATTCAGTTTGTAGAACGGTATGACAGCGTTGCGAATAGTGCTTTGTACATGGAGATCTCATTTCGAATAGTTTTTTGTAAATTCAATAAGTGATAAAGATATTTCCAAAATATTTTAGTGCTCATTTTACTAACCAGTTAACTGATTTTTGGGCCACCTGTGTGTCCTGTGCAGGTGTAGAAGAGAGGCTTTGCCGTATGATAATGCCCTGTTCAAGGAATCCTATCGAATATCATTAAAGGCTTTTCATTTTAAGAATTAATGAGTTTTCAGTGGGCCACGCCACCAGCTTTCGGTGTCGCACATTGTATAGTGTCCAGTGGTAGGATGGCATGAACTGGAATGGAAGCTGTCGTGGCCTGACAGCATACGTCTGTAGGAACTGAGGGAAACTACGGAAACCCGTATGATAGTCGGTGTCTCGGACGAGATTCGAACCAAGCACCTCCCGACTGCAAGTCCAGAGCAGTACCGCTACACTAACCGGTTTGGTCAGAAGGAGTAGATTTGGGAAGGCCGTGCTAATCCGCGAAAACCAGAGGAGACAGCGCAGAGAGTTACATAGAACAGAACATTGTTAATGGGTAAAGGTAAAAAAAGGCAAAGTTGTCCCTGTGCTTAATTAATTAAGCACTACGCCTTACGCCTTAAAGGCGTATGGGGGAGTGGATGTATAGAGCCACATTTTCTTGACCTCTGCACTAGTTGGAGGTGATTGGTCAGCTTCACGTCCCGGCCGCTTTACCCCCAGTAACTACTGGTTAGGAGGTTGGGTGGACCCCAGAGACGGTCAGGACGACATGGTGAAGAGGAAAATCTTTGACCCTAACATCGTTTATAACGGAACATTAATTACACTGTCGCTAATTATGATGCGACTTTTACAAATTTATCTTCCAGAAGAATAGGTTTAAACACTGGTGAGTGTTTTCAGAAACTCTGCATGGAGTCAGTAAATCACGTACAACTTGTATGGTATTCGAAAGTCTTACGTCATCCTTCACGGTCGGCATTTGTCTTTACAGAGCATAAAAATACAAAGAGGTATTTAAAGTCTACAGTAACTTAACGGGATTACGTGCAGAGCAAATGTGAGGTAAAATAGAGACCATTTTCAGTCCACTTTTTTTTCAGTGGCAAATAAATCAGCCGTGACAGATCTGTCTCCAAAGCAAACAGACTTCATGAGCGGAATTTGAATGCCGTTAGAAGCAGAATTTTTCTGTGAACTGGCTGTGGGACCTGCACCTTCTGTCTGATTGGTGCAGGACATTTCTGCATGACGTCACCAATCATTGCCGCTCTTAAGCATGCGCTGATGTTATCCCTCTGTACGCCTTCATGCCTTAGACATATTAACATTTTACTGTAAAACCAGATTAACTCTTATAACCGCAGTTAATCTAGCTCGGTACGCCATAATGGGTGTCGACAGGGGTAGGGGGCAAGGGACCCCCCCCCCGCCCCGAATTTAAAAAAGAACCAAAATCGATGAAGGATGAAATATGCACAGACGCAAAAAAAAAAAATTAGCCTGAATAATATAGGGCAGTCAGTACAAAATAGTTACAGAGGCTTTTAAACCTAAGTTTCTAAGCCCTAGGAGCTCCCATCTGTAACCATGCCCTCATTTATGGTTCATCTAGTAGATTCCAATGAATATTGTCACGTGTATTAGGGGTGTGAATATTGAAAGGTGTTTGGATTGGATTTATTGCACTTGTACACTCAACTCGTAACTACAAGTAGTGCAGCCCTGTTGCTATGTTCACGTTTTACAAATAACCGCTGCGAACAATTTGCTTTCATTAGTCGTTTCCTAGTAACGGATGTTAACAGTGGAGATTATACCAGTCTCACTGTAATTGCAGCACGCATGAAGTCTTCTTTGCACAGCCTAATTCCTTTCTTTGCATCTCTTCTCAGTCATCCGACTGTCATCTGAAGAGACTCTCTCAACTATTATTTCAGTCAGAGTGAAAGTCAGAGTTACTTTACGACTGGAGGTTTACCGCTAATCAGTTTGTCTTGGCGCCACGCCCCTTGGGGCCCACGACTAGAGATCTATTTGCAACTGAACCCTTGCGGTCACAGTCCTTATGTAACATCCTCCCGACGAGAAGATGGGTTTGTCTCTTATGAATATGCTTGGCCTTTCGTCAAGCGTACATTTCGCATATGTAGCGTGTTATTGAAAAATTCTTCCCTTTGCACTCTGTCAGTACAGGCTTTGCAAAGCAGATCATGTCTGTCTCACGTATCTTATGCTACAACGGCAGCTTGGCCTCTTCAACGGTCGTAAGTTTGACCACCGCCAAGTTTAAACTTCTTATATTTCCTGTGTCTGGCTTCACCATGTCCTACACCGCGAACATGTTCATTCTCACGATTTTGTGTGAGTTGGAAACTACAGTATGCTGTACTATACTATTCCTCCGCCTCGTGGCGGATCCAACAGAAAACGTCGTTTTCATCGTTATAGCTCAACAGTACCTTGCCGTTGCTTGTTTATTCGTTGCCGCGGGAACCTGTTTACCGAATCGTTGCATAGCAATGGACGTCTACTCTGGCTCCGCAATTCTGGCTTTCAGGCGTCATGTCACAGTATCTACAGAAACGTGGGGTTACATGTGCTCAGGGAGGTAAAACTCCCTGTCGTCTGAAAAAGAAGTAGAAGAAAAGCAGAGTAAAGTTGTCCATGTGCTCAAATCATTAAGCACAACGCCATGAAGATGTATTGGGAAGTGGAGGTATAGCTTCACCATTGTTGACTTCGGCATTAGGTGGAGGTGAGTGGTCACCTTCACACCCCAGCCCCTGTGCACATTGGATAGGACCCCACAGCCGGTCTGGACGTTGTGTTGCCGGGAATGGAGCCCCGCCCATCCCGCCCGAAGCCCGTCACTGTAGCGACTGGGCTCATATTAACTGCAAATTTTTCGGGAATAAGAGTTTGAATGCTCCGTAAGGCTGTATAGAATGCTTGTGAGGTAGGAAGTAGAGCAGGCCTGTCTCAGCGGAGCAGC